TGCTAGACTAAGAACAGCAAGTGGCCTAAGAAAGGGCGGGTCAATGAGTCTGAAGTGGACCCTTCTGTTACTGTTGAATTCCCACAGCTTGATACAACTTCAAAAGTGAAGATCATTCAAGAGACAGTGAAAAAAAGACCTGATGAAAAGACTGTCTCTTCAGCTCGTGTAAAAGAAAATCCACAACTTCCTACAGGTGCCACGAAGCACTGTGGCCGAGCTGATGATTGTGTAGGAAATCAGAATTCTGAATTACCTTCAAGACCACAAAGCTCATTGAGAAAAGGTTTGCCTTCTATGTCAATTCCCTTGGTTCCTGACATGACAACCTTTAGAATTTACAAGTTGTAAAAGACTGAATAAATAAAATATATCTCGCCAGAATAACCCTAAATTATGTCTTTGTATTTTCATTGAGAGAGAGAGCATATAATTTTTCTTACTATGATATGTAGGAGTTTTTAAGAATTTATTACAAGTTATTAGTTTCTCATTGAGATCTATCTTAATTTGAGGTTGTTTTCAGTATCAAATCAAAGGTCAAGTTGTTTATTCCAATAGATTGTCATGAAATTTTGGCAATTTTTTTCTTAATAGTTGCAAGGCAACCAGATTCATGCAGATAATTGTGAAATATAAGAAGTTAAGCATACAAGGCTCATATACCAACTGTATCACGAAATACTGATAGCTCAAAGCTTCCATTACAAGAGAAAATGTAGATTTCTGGATTTGTTTCTTAATTACCTCATACTAAAGATGCAAAGTAGAAGTTCTAGCATCTTGCCGTGGAAAAAGTCGTTTGACTTTGGAATATGAAAAAAGGTTGGGTCATTTTCTACTAGATTAAGTTTTTGGATAATCAGTTGCCTAAAAGAGTTATTTCGCATGTATCATAGTTTTGTTTGTGTTTTCAGTCCAGTGGAGTTCCGTACTAAACTACATGTTAAGAGATAAGTCATAAAGTTGAGTCCTTGTTTTATCAGTTTAAGATTTTAGAATAAGTCGTAATCTAACTGTTTTTTTCACAGGCTACTGGTTCAATTGATCTAAAAACAAAAATCATACAAAGCTAACTTGCATGACATAAAAACTATTCTGATATTGACAATCCAGAAATCTCATTGATCTTTCTGTTTTACCAGATTATTTAGATACTTACTGCTAGCACTTTGCACGTGCAATCAGAATACAAGTCTTGCTGAATGGGCTGGTCTAGTGGGGATTTTGACTTATGGTTTCTTAGTAGAATATGGCACTATGTCTGATTTCTTCATGTTAATGGTTCTAAGCTGGAGAAATAAGTGTTTATGCTGTCATATAGGATGTAAAACAATTCTGAATGATGACCTTCTCTTAAAATTAATGATTCAAGGTTTTTTTTTCCCATTTTTCTACACCGTTTTATGCAGCAAAGCATAATGTTTTTTTTTGCTTTCAAATGATTGCAGCTTATAAAACTACCTTTTCTGGGAGTTTAACCAAATCAACTGATCTGGAGTACATTGACATTGATTTAGATCTGAAGGATCCTCAATTATGTAGTGTCTATGCCCCAGATATATACAACAATTTACGTACTGCAGAGGTATGTACTTCAGGATATTTTCACATTCCCTATCACCATTTGTACTTTGTATTTTGATAACCAAAAAAAAGTCAGGTATCTTTATTTAGTGTTTTGTGTCATTATATTAAAGTATTATATCTCATTTGTAACAAATGTGATCACGATAAGAGAGAGAGAGTAATATGGGAAATTGACTCTGAGGGATTGAAAAATTCAGATTGCTGGACTTAGAAGTCTGTTTGACCAGGAAGCATGGCAAATATTTTTTTTTCTTGAATATTTTTGTTCTTCATTAATAATTTGAATTTTAAGAGATTATTTAGATATTTGTAAGTGGCACTAATTCTACTCATATTAGGACTTGAAAATTCCCCTTGAATATTTTTCCTTTGATGGATGATGCAATTATCGGCTCATGTTAAATAGATTCTTTATTATTCACACATGAGTAGTCTACCACCTAGGTGAACTCTCTGCATAAGGGACATTGACTAATTGTCCATAACGCCAATGTAACCTTTTCGAAGACTCTAGGAATTAACTTAACGTATTATGAGATGAACTTTACATAAGCCTAAAAGTAGTTAGCATATCATTGACATGTTGATAAAAAGAGTAACTTTTTTTATCAACTTTCCTGGTGTATTTTTGTTTTCAAACCCTTGGACTTTCAATTTTATTTTGGACAGTGTATACCATGAGACTTTTTAATTTTTGGTTGATAGCTTAGGAGTATACTTGCAAAAGAAAAAGAGACGAAAAAATCTCTATCTACATGAAGTCTATCCAATGTTAAGTTCTTGAGACCAGGATCTTATCGCCAGGTGGTTTACCAGATAATCTAATTCTGGATCTTGCTTCTTTCCCTTATTATGATTCCTTGAGTGACTTATTATGAATTATTTCCAAACTCATCAAAGGGAGCTTGGCACTTTGGACCTCGTTAGAGAGAGTTCCAATTTCTATATTATAATTATAATTCTACTTACCTCTTTATTAAGTCTATATCCCTTTAAATAAGATTACATTCATTACATTATAGCAAACCTTTATTATTTAAGTTTCTCATAACAAAAAAAAAGAGATTTCTAATTAGGAGATAAGTCTCCAAAATAAAAATTAAATTCTTAAATAAGAGATAAATTTTCTTAAATAAAAGATATATTTTTAAAATAGGATAAACTATATAATAAAAATTAATTCCTAAATAAGAGAAACTTTTCAAACTAATAGATAGGTTTCCAAAATAGGATAAAGCTAAACCATATCATTTCTTTATTTGTCTTTTCTGCAATAAGAATGACCCACAAAATAGTATATAACATCACCCTCTCTCTGAAGAAAAAGTTTGTCCTCAAACTCAAAGTCTGGATAAGCAGTTTGGAAATGTTCATGGGTTTTCCAAGTAGCGTCAACTGCATCCGTTCCGTTACAGTGCACTAAAAGTTCCTAGGTGCCTTTATTAAGTCGGGTGTGCAAAACTAAAGTTGGAGTGAGAATAACATGACTATCTTCCATTAGAGGTAGCGAGGGAATTGAGGCTGAAGGTTTCCCTTTAAAAGGTTTGAGAAGGGAAACATGGAAGACATTATGAAATTCAGACTCAGCTGCTAGTCGAAGCTTGTATGCAACAGTGCCCACACGTTGTAGAATGGAAAATGTGTCGTAAAACTTTGGAAACAATTATGGTGGGGTGCTGATAAGACAGAGTGTTGGCAATATGGTTGCAGACGGAGCCACACAAGATCCCCTACCCCATATGTGACATCTCAATGCCCCTTGTCATAGAATTCCTTCATACAATTTTGTGCCTGCTGCAATTTAGCTTGGATCTCGGTCAATACTTGATCCCAGGTAAGTAAGACTTCGTCTACCGAATCAACCTGAGAGGACCCAGGTGTGTATGAAAGGAGACGTGGCGGTTCGCGCTCATACACCACTTTGAAGGACGTACTCTGGAGTGCAGTATGAAATGATGTATTATAGCAGTATTCATTGCATCGAAGCCACTGAATCCAACTCTTAGGTTTGTCCCCACGAAGCAACAAAGATACATTTCAATTGTATGATTACCAGCTCAGTTTGATGTCCGTTTGTGGGTGATAAGCTGAAGAATTAAACAAGTTTTGTACCATTAAACGGAAGAGTTCCCTCCAAAAATTCTAGAATGCCATGAAGACTGACAATCTATTCATAGAAAATTTGGGCAACTCTTGCTGCAGTGTACGGGTGAGCCAATGAAGTAAAATGTGTATGTTTTGAGAATCTGTCTACAACAACAAAAAGAATCGATTTTTCTCAGATCTTTGGTAATCTGTTAATTTTTTTTTTAAAAGAAAAAGTATAAATTTGTATTAGTAAGGTACCAAAGAAGAGGGCTATTGCCCCTTTACAAAAAATTTACAGATTTGTTAGTGAGTCAATGACATTCCCAAAATCTTTAACCTTAATGACATCATGTCCCAATATAAGACAACCAAAGTATTTAAACCATTTCTCTCTAAGTTTATTAATATTATTCACAATCCCTTCAAACGCTTTTGAATTTCTTTCTTTCCAAATAACCTAACCCAAAAAACAGACAAAGGGATGAGTCTCGCAATTTCAGCTTTCAGCTCTGCCCCACCCGAGGCCCAAATTCCTCCTCAATCGAATCATCTTGTACCCAACAAATTCCTACCAAGCCATACACCAAGCACCAGAGTTTATAGGCAGTAAGGCACCTAAGTAGAAGGTGACGACAATCTTCCTCATTTTCCAAGCACATAAAACAACCATTCACCAAAATACATCCCCTAACCTTCAGTTTGTCCAAACTTAAAATACTCTCCCTGCATGCCTCCCAAGCAAAGAAAACCATCCTCGGGGGCACAGAGTTTTTCCAGATTAAATTGTTGGGACATCTGGAAGAACTACACTTTGTGTGATCCATCAACTTGATGTAGTAAGAGCTCATCGAAAACTCACCATTGTTGCACCCCTTCCACAGCACCTGATCCGGATCATTGCAGGGTTGAAAGTTAGATATGTTCTTCAACAAGTTAAGATACTCCTCCACTTCCCAGTCATTTAGATTTCTGCATACATTAATGGATCAGATGCATCTGTCATAATTACGCTCACAAGCCTCTTCCACCAACATATTTTTGGATTGTGCAATTGCATAGATTCTGGAAAAATGGACTTTAAGACACCCTCGCTCCAATCACTGATCATGCCAAAATTTGGTTTCATTACCTCTTCCCACTTTCCAGCACAGGTTCTTTGCAAAAACAGACCAACCCATCTTGATTTCCTCCACAAACCTAAGCCGTGCCCTTTTCTATCCACTCTCCCTAGACCCATAAGTGCACAGGACTACCACCTAGCCCAAATCACTTTCTTCCAACCCTCCTCTCTCAAAAATCTCCACAACCATTTGCCTTGTAAGGTTTTATTAAATTCAACCACTGATCGAATGCTCAAGCCACATCATAAGTAGGAAACGACATTACATCATCCTATTTGACAAGATGAAACTTTTTTCTATCCTTACTATCACCCCATAGGAAACGACATTAGATGGTCTCCAATCTTTTAGCAACACTTGACGG